TTAGAAATGGAACCTAGATGTAGAGGACATTGTTCTGTTCATCAACATTCTTGTTCTCCTTTCCTTTTTGGCATGTGGGAAGATTGTATTTCCCTTCTCCTTGAGGTTAGACACAGTTACATGGCTAGTTGAGTCAACAGAAGAGGAGCCGAAGTGAAACATGACACTTCCAAGTGAAAGACTGTAACTGCTGATGCTCTTCTCTCTAACCCTGCTAAGTGCACAATCACAGAGGTTCATATCCATATGAAGGCAGTATCAGAGTGGAGGAGCTTGGAATGCTGAGCAAACACACAGAGGAATGCTGCCGTGGTCCTTTACATGGACCCCAGCAGGCTTCGCGTGAGTGAGAAATACAATTCAGTCAAGCCACTGAGGTTAGGTAGTTTGTACTGCAGCACAATCTAGCCTATTTGGAAGTATCTGAGTTTAGTCATGGTAGCATTATGCATCCTTGTAGCTGGGAGGGTCAAGTAACAGTTCTAGCAAACAAAATATAAATTGAGGTGCCTGGTCAAGTGAGCCTTCTAGGAAAAGCCTTTTAAAGAAATAAATTCAGCTGGCATGAGCAGTTTCTCTTTTTGTCCTTCATTTTCTTGCCTAGGATGTAGACATGATGGTTGGAACTGTAGGAGTTATCTTAACAGCATGAGGAGTAGGGTCCCATCCAGTGGTGCAGTGTGGACAGAGGAAAGGAGATGGGGCTCTGTTGACATCATGGAGCTGCCATGCTTTGGACTTCCCACTGCTGGGATTCATTTATGGGAGACGAAAACAAACTTTTGTGTTGTTTAAGCCACTGTTTTTCAGGTTTCTATTTCTAACAGCCCAATGCAATTTTTAACTGTTATAGAAGGTACAGAAGTAATTTTTATTCTTCCAGTATTTATACTACTATTAGTTTTTCATATTTTTATTGTGGAAACTTTCAAACATATCCAAAAATACAGCGAGTAGTCATCATCCAGCTTCAGCAATGATCAGCTTATAGTCAATCATGCTTTACTCACATCTCCCACTTTTTCCTCCTGGGTCGATATCTATCTATATATATATATTACATATTATATATGTGTATATATTTAGAGACTAGAGACAGGGTCTCACTATGCTGCCCAGGCTGGTCTTGAACTCCTGGCCTCAAGCAGTCCTCCCACCTTGGCCTCCCAAAGTCCTGGGATTACAGGCGTGAGCCACTGCTCCTGACCCTGGGTTGATTCTTGCAACTGGTTCTACTGCTCTTATGGGTGACATGTTGTTTATCCTCAACCCACCTCTGAGAAAGGGACCTCTCTGTGCCCCACTCCTTGACCTAAACTCACCTTCTGCAATGCCCATGGTCCCTGCCTTGACCTCAGGTGGCAAGGTCCTTATAGTCTGTGGCTTCTTGTCTCTATCTCAGGCCTCTTTGGGACCACCAGTCCTCTTGCCACTTCTTGCCTCCCCCATCTGGGGGTCCCAGGGATCTTGGCTACTTGCAGGCTCCATAGGGAAGTGTACAGGGCTCAGTGGGAGCTGCCCCCAGACCCATCACTTAGGCATCTCCCTCGGCTTCTGCTTCCTTTCATCTCTGAGCCATGCAGTCTCCCCAGGTTATATTCTCGGATTTCCCTATGCCTATTGGGGTAACACAAGGGAAAGAGGTGGAGGGCATGTTCTGCAGCAGTATCTCAACCTCCTCACACTCTGTCTCAGAGTCATGCATGGGCTTTTCTTTTGTCTCTTCTTGCATAGCTGGAAGTTTCTCTGCCCTCTACCCCATCCCCCACCTCCTGCCACCCTCTGCACATGGAGGCTTACTAATAGGCTGCTAACACCTCCTGGTTTTCCTAGGACAGTCCTGGTTTGCACTTGCTATTTCCGACGGATTTATCAGTAGTGTCCCTTTCACTCTCAAAATTTATGGTTACCTTTTTAAAGGTGAAACTCTATGCAAAGTTATTTGTTGACGCTTGACATGAAAGCCCAGCTTTGAGAGTGCCCAGGTAACATTTTTTTCTTTCAACCCACTGTAGCTCTTCTACATAAGTGCCTGCTTCCACTTACTTGTGGTGGACTTGAGCAAACTCAATTTTTTGAAACAAAGTTGATCGATTTGTTTACACTAAGCATTTCCACCCTGGCAGGGAGGGGATGGAGTAGGGTGGTGCTCTCCAGCAACACGGGTGTATGTGTGGTCAGCGGGGTGGTGGTCAGTCCACTCAACCTGCCTGGCATGGCATGGCGGTGGCTTTGGTCATCTCATTTTGGATTTAGCATGTGGGACACAAAGAAGCAGAAGACAAGGCTCTGGGGATCCTGGGGCTGTGTGGTCAGAGCTGAGGTTGGTGATGTATCAGGTGGGAGGCTTGAGAGCATAGGGTGGGCACCCTGGGGACAAAAAGATGAGATGCCGTCTGGGAATCCTTTCCCAGTGGTGGAAGAGAACTGCAGGGGATGGGCCCTCACTTACTGGACTACCTTCCTAGGACTTCAGCAGGCTGTGCCAGTCTGAGGGCCAATGCAATTCTTTACTGATGGGAGGGTTGTGGCCACATATCTCTTGGGGACACCATGTCATCTGAGGGAGGAGCAAGATTGGGGATACTTGGTCCCCCTAGAGTGCTCTCAGGCCTACTCCCATCCCAAAGCCACAAGCATAGCCTCCCTTTCTACACTTCAGTGTTTCAGCATATGATACATGTTGTCAGAAAGAGTTCTTCCTGCAGCTCAATCCTCAGCTATGGTGAGGAGTGGCAGGAAAGGCCTCTGAGGTCTGCCTCTGAGAATCCCACCAGCAGCCTTACCCTTGCTGAGGAGGAAAGGGTGGCTCCAGTGATCTAGGCCAACACTGGCCACAGACCTCACTGTTAAAGAGGAGCCTTTCTCCCGACTCCCATCCCATGCCTCACTCACTTCCTCTTCCTTGGGGCTCTCCAGTACCCACTGCCCACAGGTCCAGACTATCCCTAGTTTCTTAAGACCCCTGACCACCAGCAGGACACCCAAAGTGGAGTGGTGGTGAAGGCTTTGGATGAAGCTTGGCTTTCTTGGGCTAGCCCTTGAGTCTCATTGCTCACATCTATGTGGTGCCATCTTCTTGAGATCCTGTCTACCTGGGACAGGAGGTCTCACTCACGTTCCCCTCAAAAGCCCCTCCCATTCAGCCCCCAGCTACCAAGCTGTGTCTTCCTGTTTCCAAAAGTTTTTGACCCAAAGTGGTGCTCCCGCTGGATTCCTGTTTCACTTGGCATTGTTAGAACATCAGAGAGCAGGAAGCCTTGATGACCTGAGTCTCCTGTGTGAGCATGAAATTCTGTAGAGCACCCTACACGGGCCAGTTGAAAAGGGCTTAACACAGCAGTTCCCAAACTAAGGCTGCACTTTGGAAAGCTGATGCCAGACCGCATACCAGCCCAGTTAAAGCAGAATCCCTGGGTGGATCCAGGTATCAATATATATATTTTTTTTTTAGTGTCCTAGGGGATTATAATGTCCTGTGTTGAAAATATATAACTCAGAAACTTAAACCATTGCCAATCCAGGTTTTAAACACCTCTCACTGTTGAGGTAGCACCTAAGGGGTTAGTCACGCAGAGTTCCTATTATGCCCAGCTGCAGACCTATCTAGTTTCGTACCACTCGCTACTGTGAGTAGGAGGTGGGCAGAGCTGTATCCAGCACCCCTGAATGGGTTCCCCTGGAAGAGTGGGATTCAGTCAGAAAGTCCAGGTACCCAGCTGCTTCACTGCCACCTGCAGCTACTGCAGATGCTGTGTGTCAGGCTGAACCCTAAACCCTCACATCTGCTATAGCTGTTCTGGAGACTCACCCCCAAAACACACACACACACACACACACATACACACACACACACACACACACACGGATTAGGGAAAGTGTCACCCAGCTGCAAGGCAGGAAGACCCCTGCACACCTCCCCACTGGCCCTCCCACCTCTCCTGAGGGACCCACCATGGAAAGACCCTACAGAGGGTTGCAGACCTCAGACTTCTGGGATGAAGGTTCACACAAACATCTGAGGGACACAGGTAGAGAGTGAGGGGCCTTGGGCATGGATAACAAAGCAGAGACAGTGAGAGACCACGTGAGAGATGGTTGCACCATAGGTGCCCAGAGACAGAGGGAGACTCAGCAAAGCAGTGGCCCAGCAGCACCCACCCAAGGCAGGCCCAGCAGAGGATGAGGCAGCCTGGGGGTAGGCCGGAGAGGGGACATGGGGGTGGACGAGGAGCACAGCTGCTTCTGAGGACGTGGTAGGATTTAGAGGCTGTGTGCCCAATGACCTGCACTGGCAGAGGGACAGCCCTTTCCCCTGCCTACCCCTAGTTGTTTACCTACCCCCATGCCACCCCCACCACCATCTCCCCACACCCCCCGAGTCCCTCTCCCCTCCCAGATCCCATGCCTGGTTCTCCCAGGAAGTGCCCAGCAGAGGGGAGGGAAGTCTCGTTGTTCAGCCCCAGGGTGGGGAGGCAGTAAGCACAGCTGCTACCTTCAGCTCCTGCTCTGGCTTCCCCAGGGGCTGGCTCTGGCTGGCTGCTCCCCCACTGCCTCCCCCACCATAAGGCAGAGCGTCTGTCCTGCTGTTGCCAGCTGAAGTGCCATGTCCTCCTGGCTCCCTGCCAAGCACTCTGCCGGCCCTGAGGGCCCTGCCAATCACAGGCCTGTGGAATCCTGGCCTTCCCAGCTGACCCTGGCTGCAGCCAGATTCTCTGATCTTCTGATCTGAATGGAGATGCCTGGACAGGGGCTGCAGGAAACTAAAGCCCAATGCCTACTCCCACTGTGGAAGGGGCCAAAATCAGGCAATCATCATCAGTGCTTGACCTGGGCCCTGGGGTCTCTCTTGGATGCCAGGTATGCTGTTAGGAACAGGGGCCTAGGGTTGGTGACCTGAGGACAGGGGCTCTAAAACATACCAGGGAATCTTTCTGGGGGGAAGGCAGAAAAGTTAGGGGCTGAACCCTCCTCCTTGAGTCTAATCTCCAAAGAGCAAGTGTGTGGTCAGTAAAGGTCTTTATTGGAAGAAAGATCCAGCCTCCTTGGCTCTGTCAGCGCCCTAGGTCATGAGGATTTCGATGTCAAGCTCCAGCCGGCTGGCTCTGACCTCATAGTGGCCCCGGATCAGGCCTCGGGTTTGGCTGGCATGCCAGCGCCAGTGAGACTGGATGATGCAGGCTGCTTGGCGTGCCTGGAGGAACCGCCTGCGGGCCTGCCACATTCGAACCTGTGCCTGCACCTTCACCACTGCCCACTCCTGGCAGGTATAGAGTCTTAGTGCCAGGCGCCGTCTTTGCTCCAACATCTTGGCCTGCATCGACCTCCACCAGCACTGGATGACCCAGGCTCTGAGTGCTGCATGCAGTAACGTCCGGCGCACCATGTTGCCACGCCACCATGACTGAATCTTTATGGCTGTCTTCTCTAACTGATTGGGGGGAAGGAAAAACAGGGAGAGGCTCAATGGGGGACCCTCCCCTCCTGTTCCTATCCCCACCTCTGATATTGGGAGGAAAGAAGGCCTGGCCCAGGTGCCCCTGACTTCTTGTTTCTAGGGCCCATCCATCTTGTTTCCAATTCCCCTCCCGCCTTTAGACACTGTTCATTACCCATCAGGCAAGTCCCTCCTGCAAGGGCCTTACTCACATTTTGCGTGTCCATGGCCTTGGTCCTTAGGGTCCACTTATCTATTATTTAGGCCACCCTAGTCTTTAGCCCCACCCTCAACTGTTAGTCACACCTCCATCATTGGACTCCGCCCACCTGTACACCAGACTCCACCTCATTAGGTCCTGTCTGCGCACATTTTAACCACATCTCTCTCTCCTCTTCTCTTGCTTGCATCTCTTTTGCTTTATTGATTCCCACCACTGTGGGAGCGTACCATTATCTCTTGACTTCAGTTAATTTCCCAGCCCCAGTGGCATTCCTATTCCTCCTGATGACAGTGAAGAGTCATGCAGCTTACCTACAAGTAAGGAGTTTTACTTTAAGCCTACTCATAGCCAGAATAGATTTCCTGAAGCTTAAGTGTCAGGGCACCTGTCCGGGCCCGAGGAACGTGTTTACAGAGCTGTATATTTTGGGGTAAAATCTGTGAAAGCAAGATATTTCAGCGGCAATTGGAGAGGACCTCTGTTTCTCTTCCCTCTTACTCCCTCTGTCACTCACCTCCTGTCGAGTAGTGTGGAATGGCAGCCTCTTTTGCAATGAGACTAAGGAAAGTCTGAGTTGGGATAGACTCAGTTTAACAGCATAGATTTATGTGGTTCGCAGTCACCCTTGGGAACACATAAATCCTTGCTAGCCATTCTGCTGTTGCTGTGTTCATTCACCTTGCTCATGGTGTGAAGATGCAGGAACAGAAGCGCTGCTATCCTGATAAGAATGTGTCTTCCATGCTGGCACCAAAAGTATTTGGGCAGGGGAGGAAAAGTAAGTGTGAAAAATATGGAACCAGAAGCCAGTCTGTAGAAAATTCTTCCTGTTATTAGATGTGTAAAACTGTAAGTGGAAGATTCAAGTCTCATTGATGCCTGATTAAAATTGAAGTTCTCTCTTGTCAGGAATATACTTGACAATGCAATGATACAATTTTAAATATTTCATGCTTATCTTTTCTTGGTGGGAATTTCGTGAAATTCCAGCTACTGTAAACAATGTGGAAGTCAGTGTGAAAAATCACATGCTTTATGCATACCAAATGTCAATCGTAAGAATGTTTCTGTAGACAATGTGGTTGTAAAATTATCCTATGAAGAAACATTAAAAGGTTATGCAGCTGAAATGTAGAAAAATATAGAGGTGGGGCAGTTAATTCATATAAATATTATGTTATGTTTGACGTGTTTATCAACTTAAAAAATGTGTAATTTGTTGTAATTTCTTTTCTCATCTTAAATAAATACTAATTTGATCTGTAATTTTGTGTGCTTTTCTTAAACAGTAGGCTTTCTAAATCATAGGTTTTAGGTGCCACAAAACCTGGATCTGTCCTGCTTCACTGTAAGAATGCAGTTGTGCAAGCAGATCTCCTGGGAGCTCACAAAAAGCTGTGCTTCTAGGATTCAGAATTAGCACTGGAACTGCACACTCAGGTGATTCAGAGATGCTGGGAGTCCTTTGAGATCTGGGAGGCCATTTTGGCTCTGGCTTTAGCATGCATTTCATTATCCATTTTCCTGCAGGAAAGGTTTGCTGGGTGCCCACAGCTTGTAGGGCCACACACTGTCCATGGCTTCTGTTTATATGTTTTTGAGGATCCTGCTGCCTCATATCATTGCTATGGCACTGCTCATCTGGGTGTCTTACGGGTTCTGGCCCCACTGTGAACCAAGCAACCTTGGTAAACCAAGCATGTTTAAATTCCTCAAAATAGTGGATCCTATTGCTTCCCTTAATGATTGCCAATCTGGGTGAGCAAAGTGCTGGAACCAGCCATCTCAAGGGCCTTCACTTTGTCAGTCCCGGCGTCAGGCATCCACCCCTACAGAAGGGATCACTTAGTGGCCAGTGTTCTGGGGGCTCAGCCCATCCAGGCCAGGTTGCCATGGTCAAGATGCCACACTCCACCATTTCTCCCCTATTTTGGCCTGGTTGGGAGTTGCCATAATACCGTAACTTTGCTATCTTCTTGGCTGTCCCTGGAAAATCCTGGCAGAGTTCACAGTTTTGCAGTTGAAAGTGGCAGCAGATGGGGGTGGGGGTAAGACAAACTTTCTGAGTCTTACTAAGTTTTCACAGAGCATGGTCCTCGGTCTCTATTTCCTCACTACTTCTTCTCCAGCTTCCTGTTCTTTTCTTCTTGCTTGATATATATTTTTTCTGATTATAAATGTAGTACATGTCTGTTGCCAAAATTTCAATATGCAGACACATATAAGGTGGAAAGGGAATTTCCCATGAAATTTTTCCCCAGAGCTACTTTCAGACTTTATACCATGTATATACTGATGTAAATTTCCTAATAAAATAACTTACTTTTAATTAAACATGTAAAATATATTCTTGTAAAAATTTGTGCATTTCAAAATTTACCTTGGCAATCAACGTTTCCTCCTCTGCATTATTACTGGTTCCAGTTTGGAGGGTATCCTGGACAACTAGCTACGCGTTTATCTTTCTTGTTTTTAGCTGTGCATTTATAAACACACTACATCCATATACCTAAAAAATACATAATACTGTTTTTAATGTGTTTCTGTGTATCTTTTTTAATTAAAGTAATCATGTAACATAAAATTGATCGTTTTAACCATTTTAAAATTCCAGCTTCTAATTTTATCTAATTTCTAAAAGAAACGCTGTCCCCATTAAGTAGTCATTCCCCATTACCTTTTCCCACCCTAGTCCCTGGCAGTCACTAATCTGCTTTTAGCCTCCATGGATTTGCCTATAAAAGACATTTCATGTAAATAGAATCATACAATATAGGGTCTTTTGTGTCTGGCTTCCTTCACTAGGCCTAACGTTTTCAAGGGTAATCCATGTTGTACCATGTATCAGTACTTTGTTCCTTTTTATGGCTGAATAATAGTCTACTGTACAGATGTACTACATTTTGTTTATATATTCATCAGTTGATGGGCATTTGAGCTGTTTCCACTCTTTAGTGATTGTGAACAGTGCTGCTGTGAACATTCTTGTATAAGTATTTGAATACCTGTTCAATTCTTTTGGGTATATACTTAGGATTGAAATTGCTTGGTCATGTGGTAATTATGTGTTTAACTTTCTGAGGAAGCACAAAACTGTTTTTCGTGCAGCTGAACCATTTTTCATTCTCACCAATCTCTGCATCCTCACCAACACTTATTATTTTCCTTTGAAAAATCATGGCCATCTTGAGTGTGAAGTGGTATCTCATTGTGATTACAATTTTCATTTCCCTAAGACCAACAACATTGAGTATCTTTTCCTGCACGTGTTGGCCATTTGTGTACCTTCTTTGGAGAAATGTCTGTTAAAGTCCTTTGCCTGCTTTAATTGGCTTATTTGTATTTTTGTGGTTGAGGTGTAGGAATTCTTTATATATAATGAGAAGGAGACCCTTATCAGATATATGATTTGAAAATATTTTCTCCATTCTGTAGGTTGTCCTTTCATTTTTTTCATAATGTTCTTTGTTTCAATTTTGTCAGGTCCAACTTATCTATTTTCTTCTTTGTTGCTCGTGCTTTGGCATCCTAGCTAATAACTCATTGCCAAACCCAAGATCATGAGGACTTACCTGTGAGTTTTATTGTAAGGGTTTTGTAGTTTTATTGGTTACATTTAGGTATTAGATCAATATTGAATTAACATTTGTATATATTGAGGAAAGAATCCAACTTCATTCTTTGCATGGGGTTATCCGGCTGTCCTAGCACCTGTGTTGAAGAGACTATTCTTTCCCCTGGGTCTTGGTACCCTTGTTGAAAATCAGTTGAACATAAGTGTACACTTGATTTTTATTTCTGGTCTCTCAATTCTAGTCTGTCAATCTAATGCCAGGATAGATACCACACTGTCTTGATTATGGTAGTTTTGTAGTAACTTTTGAAATGGAAAGTGTCAGTCCTCCAACTTTGTTTTTTGTTTTCAAGATCATTTTGTCTATTCATAGACCCTTGCAATTCCATATGAACTTTAAGATTAGCTAGTCCATTTCTGCACAAAAAGGCAGTGGGAATTTTGACAGGGATTGCAGTAAATCTGTAGATTAATTTGGGGAGTAGTCTTCCAACACACATACACAGAGTATCTTTCTATTCCACTTACATCTTTAATTTCTTTCTACTGTGTTTTGTAGTTTTCATTGTACACGTCTTTCACCTGCTTGGTTAAATTTATTCCTAAGTATTTTATTCTTTTTGATGCTATTAAAAATGGAATTATTTTCTTAATTTCATTTTTGAATTGTTCGCTCCTAGTGTGTAGAAATACACGATTTTTCATGTTGATCTTATATCCTGCAATTTTGATGAATTAGTTTTTTAGCCCTAATAGATTTTGTTGTGGATTCTTTAGGATTTTCTTTATGTCTTTATGTATGTAAGGTCATGTTATCTGAAAACAAATAGTTTTCTTTTCTTCTTCTTTTTTTTTTTTTTTTTGTTGTTGTTTTGGGACAGACGTCCCACTATGTTGCCCAGGCTGGAGTGCAGTTGTGGCCAATCTCAGCTTCACTGGTACCCTCTCGCCTCCTGAACAAATCCTCCCACTCATCAGCCTCCTAAGGAGTTGGGGCCACCACACGCTTGGGCTTAAATTTTTATGATTTTTTTTTTTTCTTTTTTTTTTGGAGACACAGAGTCCTCATTCTGTCGCCCGGGTGGAGTGCAGTGACCCGATTTCAGCTCACTGCCAAGCTCCGGCCTCCACAGGTTCACCCCATTCTCCTCCCTGCAGCCTCCCAAGTAGCGGGAGCTACATGCCGCCACCC